GAGAGGTCTAAGAGTCAAAGGGATCACACAAACAAGACTAGTGTCTGTTAATACTAACTGATACAATCAAAAAGGGAAAGAATGATCCATCATGGGAAGTGGGATACACAGCAGACTCATAGAATGGCAGATGTCCTAAATAGCACTCTGGCCTCAGAATCAGCCCTTAAGGCATTCGGATATGGCTGAAGAGCCCATGAGAGTATTTTAGGCATGGAAAGCCAAGACACTCTGAAAAAAAAAAAAAAAAAAAAAAAAGAAGACGACCTAAATGAAAGATCTCTGTGAGTGAGATCCCAGTGGAAAGAATGGGGTCATCAAAGAAGGAGGTACCTTTCTCTGAAGGGAGGAGAGAACTTCTACTTTGATTATGACCCTGTCGGAATAAAATTAAAGTCGGCGAACTCAAAAGGCTTCCATAGCCTTGGCAACTCATGACTAGAGTATAGGGAGATTACCGACGCCATAAACAAGAGTGTCAAATTGTTAAGTCAACAACAGGAGTCACTGTGTACTTACTTCTCATGTGGGATCTGTCCTTAATGTGTTGTCCAATGTGAAGTAATGCTATAACTAGTACTGAAACAGTATTTTACACTTTGTGTTTCTGTGTGGGTGCAAACTGATGAAATCTTTACTTAATATATACTAAATCAATCTTTTGTATATAAAGATAATTGAAAATGAATCTTGATGTGAATGGAATGGGAGAGGGAGCAGGAGATGGGAGGGGTGTGAGTGGGAGGGAAATTATGGGGTGGGGGAGAAGCCATCAAAATCCATAAACTGTACTTTGGAAATTTATATTTACTAAATAAAAAAAAGATTTATTAAAAAAAAGAAATGAAATGAAAACCTATTGTATGTTTCAACAGCCATTCCATTCCTATTTGAAAATCTGTAATAACTGTTGGCATTTGAAGACCTCCTGACGTCTACACCAAACATTCAATTCATTTCTCTTTAACCTCTGAATGACTACTCTCAAAATGTTGGCACAACTTCCCTGCAATCAGGACACCAGAACAAGACATCCTGTTGCCCAAGACACCACCAGGCTCGGTATCAACATCTACATAGAGGAGAGAAGTTACCTCCCAACATCACTTCCCCTATCTTCATCAGATTTCTCATCAGAAACCCCAGCACCGGAGCCAGAAGGCAATGGGCCAATATAGTCAAACTGTAGAGAGAAAAGGTGTTGACTAAGAAACCCATAAACATCAAAAATGTCCTTCAAATCGGAAGGAGAAACTGAGACATTCTCAGACACGCAGTAGCTGACGGGGGGTTGTTACCACTTGAACTGCCCTACACAAAGGCCTTTCTTCGGATGAAATACATGGACACTGGGACTAGGTAGAGAAGGGCCTGAAGGTTATACTCATCTAGGAAAGAAAACCTGCTTCCTTAACTAAAATGAATATGCCTGAGCAAAGAGTAAACAGCAATGTCAAATATCAAAATGCTAAATCTCTGATCTTACATCCATGATAAACATCACATTTGGGCGGTCGCTGTGGCGCAGTAGGTTAATCCTCCACCTGCATCACCGGCATCCTATATGGGCGCCAGTTCTAGTTCTAGTTGCTCCTCTTCCGATCCAGCTCTCTGCTATGGCCTGGGATAGCAGTGGAGGATGGCCCAAGTCCTTGGGCCCCTGCACCTGTGTGGAAGACCCGGAAGAAGCTCCTGGATCCTGGCTTCGGATTGGCACAGCTCCGGCTGTTGCGGCCGTCTGAGGAGTGAACCAATGGAGGGAAGACCTTTATCTCTGTCTCTCCCTCTCACTGTCTGTAACTCTACCTCTCAAATTAATAAAAAAAACTTTAATAAAAAAAATCACATTTTAGAAGTGCTCTTGGGACAGTGTAAGGGGAGGCAGAGAGCTGTATAATGAGTGAAGGCCTTATTTTAAACTCTGCAAGAACCTATGTGATTGGTTCTTCCATCTTAAGTTCATTAAATTAATATTTTTCAGTTATATGATATAGAAAAGTATGATTCAGCAAAGAAACAAAGATGGTGGATCCCTCTCTCTGGGGACAGGGAAGCTCTACTGAGTTTTATCTGAGTGTGCTGGTGGGTGTGAATATGTGAGGCCACCCACTCCAAGAGGCAGGCCCTGCCCATCCAGAACCCTGGGAAATGAGACACCTGTCTACTCTGAAATCTTGCTGGGCTGTGGAGGGGCAGACCTTTTCATTTAAGTATGGCTAATTGATATGACTTTTGTTTTAAGTCAATTATACATGACAATTTTATTTAATTGTTTTATTTTATAAAATATTTTCTTGTCTATATATTTTTTTTGACAGGCAGAGTCAGACAGTGTGAGAGAGAGACAGAGAGAAAGGTCTTCCTTTGCTGTTGGTTCACCCCCCAAATGGCCGCTACGCTGATCTGAAGCCAGGAGCCAGGTGTTTCCTCCTGGTCTCCCATGCGGGTGCAGGGCCCAAGCACCTGGGCCATCCTCCACTGCCTTCCAGGGCCACAGCAGAGAGCTGGACTGGAAGAGGAGCAACCGGGACAGAATCTGGCACCCCAACCAGGACTAGAACCCAGGGTGCCAACGCCACAGGCGGAGGATTAGCCAAGTGAGCCATGGCACCGGCCTCTTGTCCATATTTTTATAATTTACCATTTCTGGCAGTTTTTAAATTTTTATGTAATTTTAGCATCTTTATGCCTGGGGGATTTACTTCAACATTTCTTATACTAAAATTCTGCTATGACGAATTGTTCAGATGTGGGGGGAATGTCTCAAGTCTCCAATCTCTCTATGGCCTTGGCAGCACTTACTATTTTCATGGGTACTGAGTATAGCCTAGTAGTTGTGAAATGATATGTCATTGTGGTTTTTATTTACATTTCCGTAATGGCTAATGTCTGAGTATTTTTTCCTGCACTTAGTGGCATTTTGTGCTTATTAGGTCAGATACTGCCTACTCTAATATTTACCCATCATAAACTTTAATTATTTGAATGATTATTGTTCACCTGAGACGTACAAGTTCAATCATAGATGCTCTATGAGCTTTCCTCTGTGTCTACGGCTATGCCAGTATCTCTCTGTGCACCCGTGTTATTTACTATAACTTTGTACTAAGTTTTGAAATTAGAAAGTGTATGCATTTCCCACTCAGTTCTTCTTCAATATTTTTGTTCTGTTTTAGGTGCCTTCCAATATTATGAACTTCATTATTAATTTTCTATCTCTGCATAAAAAGCAATTGGGATTTGGACAGAGATTGCTCTCAGTTTGTAGATCAATTTGAGGAGCAGTCATCATTACAATGTTAATTCAATTCATGATCATCCAATATATTTCCATTTTTCTAGAACCACTTACATTCCTTTCAACAAGTAGAGTGTATGTCTAGTACTGCCTTTTTTTTTTTGGACAGGCAGAGTTAGACAGTGAGAGAGAGAGAGAGAGGTCTTCTTTTTCCGTTGGTTCACACACACACACACACACACCCCCAGTGGCCGCTGCGGCTGGCGCTGCACAGATCCGATGGCAGGAGCCAGGTGCTTCTCCTGGTCTCCCATGGGGTGCAGGGCCCAAGCACCTGGGCCATCCTCCACTGCACTCCCTGGCCACAGCAGAGGGCTGGCCTGGAAGAGGGGCAACCGGGACAGAATCCAGTGCCCCAACCGGGACAAGAACCCAGGGTGCTGGCACCACAGGCGGAGAATTAGCCTAGTGAGCCGTGGCACCGGCCTAGTACTGCTTTCTAAAAAAATTTACTCCTAATTGTGTTACTTTTTGATGCTGCCATAATTTCAACATTTTCCCCATTTTTTGTTTCTGATTGCTGTGGTTGGAATGTCCTCACCAACATTCACATGGAAATTTAACCTTGGGGCAGGCACTGTGGCATATGAGGTTAAGCTACCTCCTGCGAAGCTGGCATCACATAGTGGAGTGCTAGTTCAAGTACCAGCTATTCCACTTCCAATCCAGCTCCCTGCTAATGCACCTGGGAAGGCAGTGGAAGATGGCCCGAGTACCTGGACCCCTGCCACCCACGTGGGAGACCTGGATGGAGCTCCTGGCTCCTGGCTTCAGCCTGGCCCAGACATGGTTGTTATGGCCATTTGGGGACTGAGCCAGGATATGGAAGTTTTGTCTATCAACACAGAACACACACACACGCAAAGCCAGTAATACTTGCCCTGTCCCAAATCTGCTTTCCCCTGTGTCCACTGTTGGGTGCCATAAACCCCCTAGGTTGCACAAGGCAAACCTCAGGAATGATTTTGCTTCCTTTTATCCCTCACCCCCCACATCAATCCATGAGAAAATCCCATCTGCCCTAGAGCCACAATAATCTATAGATGTAGTGCAATCCAGCCACATTTATTCTACTTCTCCCCTGTCATGCTACCATGTTACACAAGACATATCCTACTCACACCCAGACCTAGACTGGGAAGGTCTACCAGATGCTTCTAAATCCTACCCACTCAACACCATGTTTCCCAGTCTCCCTGGCCATCACTTTAAGACCAGGAGACTGAGTTCTGGATATTGGAGTATGGAAGGAATTAGCACATGCTACTTCCAACTGAGTCCCCAAAACACCCCATTCAATCTCAATCTTCCTCTCACAAGGTACAAGCAGGGAAAAGGTGCTGACCAGAGTCCCAAGTCCTTGAAGCCAGACCCCAAGACACTTTCTGGGACAGCTGTCCAGTGAGTGAGGAATAAACTTTTCTGTGTTAAGCAACTGAGACCAGGAAGCTTTTGTGACGCTGCAGCTGGCGTGCACTCTAACCAACACACACGTAAGTCACGGGCAGAGGTCAGCAACTTAGAGACAATCCGTTGTGGGTTTGTCAAAGTGACCTTATGAGATTGCTGGTTTTTTTTCCCCCACAAGGATAGGGAATGAACGTATGTCACATATAGATGACAATTACATGGCAAAGACAATCCCTGTGTGCCATCCTTGCGACCCGGGGCCCTGCCTGTTCACCAGCTGCTCTTCTCTTACCTCCATAACTGCGTCGTCTCCCCGGCCTTGGTTCAGTGCTTGGGCAAGAAGGGAACTGGGAGACACAGCTAGTCAGTTGGTCGCTACCTGCTGGGCACTAAGCAGTGACTGAGTCTTGCTCTCTGGTCCTTCGACGACTTCATCTGCATAGTCGGGCAGTTTCTTTCCAGAGTCCACTCTGCACCAGGAACAAGCTCACGAAAGCTGAAGACCAACACAGCTGGGAGCCGAGGGGGCCCCCTCTCTAGTTTTTTCTTCATTTGTGTCCAAAGCTGCACAGGAGGCAAAACAAAAGGAATCACTGCATTGTGGCCAGGATAGAGGAGTGTGCTCGAACAGGGGACAGAGACGGAAGGGATCACATTGGGAAGATTTAAAAACCTTTTTAGCACAAGTGCTAATGGTTGCACAGGAGTTCACAAGATCACCCAGAGAGCAGGCACATGTGAGCAGAGGGCCCCATGCGGGCAAGTGCAGAGGGTAAGAAATGATCTTTCAGGGCTGGCACTGTGGTGTAGTAGGCTAAACCTCCGCCTACAGCGCTCGCATCCCCTATGGCTGCTCCACTTCCAATCCAGCTCTCTACTATGGCCTGGGAAAGCAGTAGAAGATGGTTCAAGCACTTGGGCCCCTGCACCCACACAGGAGACCCAGAAGAAGCTCCTGGCTCCTGGCATTGGATCGGCACAGCTCCAGCCATTGCAGCCAACTGGGGAGTGAACTAGCAGATGGAAGATCTTTCTCTATGTCTCTCCCTCTCTCTGTCTGTAACTCTGCTTCTCAAATAAATAATAAAAACACAGAAATGATGATCTTTCTCTGTCAAGGCACTGATGGCTTGGTAGAAACACGGGGTATATGGATAGAAGACACGTTTGGGGCAGATCCCTCTGTATGAACTTGGACTTGACCCATAGGGTTACAGATCATGTCTTAGGGTGACTCGGCCAAGCGGGCAAGTGGGGCTGGAATCCAGGCCATGCAGCCCAGCACAGGTTTGGATCCACCAGGATCCAGAGGTGCTCTGTGGGCCAAGAGAAACCCTGTTCATCCATTGCCAGCTTTCACAACTTTTCACTCATGTGAACTCGCTGAATTCTCACAGCATCGTGGAGTAGGGATTGTGAGCACCATGTGATAAATGAGAACCTGAGGCTGAGATGTGGAAAATACACAGCCTTGCAAGAGACAATACGTCAAGGGGGTCCCTTGAGCCCCGTGATTCGCCTTGGGGTGGAAGAGCCTGGGAGAATCCAACACGACTCTTGGCCATTTGTCCTGTAACCATCTTCCACCTGGCAGACACAGGCCAGATGTGTGACAATTATAGGGCCACAGAGCTCTCACAAGGTGAGATGAGCCAGTCCCTCTTCCATCCTTCCAGCATCCCCCCACCCTAATACGCTGCCTTCATAGACAGCTCATCTATAAAGGACGGTGGGCTCACCAAGACTGCCAGCCGAGACCAGGCCACGCCCGCTATTTCATCTTGGAGGAAATTTCATTTTGCGGCCCTCAGATGGGGACAAGCCCCTGGTTTCACATATTTCACTGAGAAACCATGGCAGGTAGTATCTGATTTTTACCTAAGACTAGCTTTGGTGGAAAATGAATGGGATTTGTTTTTTTAATTGGGGGGGGGGGGGAAGCAGGGGATATGGATTCTTCTGACTGAATATTCTTTTTTTTTTTTTTTAAAGATTTATTTATTTGGAAGGTAAGAGTTCTTCCATCCACTGGTTCACTCCCCAGCCAGGGCTGGGGCAGGGTGAAGCCAGGAGCCAGGAATTCCATCCGGGTCTCCGTTATGGATGCAGGGGCCCAAGCACTTGGGCCATCTCCTACTGCTTTCCCAGATGCATTAACAGGGAGCTGGATCAGAAGTGGAGCATCCAGGACTCCATCCTGCGCTCATATGGGATATGGGCATCATAGGTGGGAGGGGTAACCTGCTACACCACAACACAGGCCTTAAGAACACTGTCTCTTGGCTCATGAAAATCAGAGCCTAGCAGAGAAGGGGAGGTCTCCAGATGTGGCCAAGTCCCCGGCCCCCGCTCCCCAAGCATCCAACAACAGTTCAGTAGCGAGAGGCTGCTGAGTGAGCACAAATCCTTGCGGGTAAGGCTGCGTGCTTTCCTGCCCAAGAGCACGTGTGGGTACTGGGACACCGCATGGTGTCCTAACGCGCCCCTTCCTGGAGGCCCAACTCCACGCCTGCATTCCCTGGGAGCTGTACTAAGAATACACGTTCTGTACAACACAAGTGCAAGGTGGCTTTCCGAAAACTCCAACAAGCCAACCCCGGGCTCCGGCAGGCCCATCCTCCGCACCAGCAGAGCCAGCTCTAAGTGCGGTTGTGGCGCCACCTGGTGTCCACTACTGAGCCCAGCGCTTCCCAAGACCTGGTGGAAAGCCGGCTGTTTCTGACAATTTGGGGGAGACGCACCTGGGGAAGGAGGCGAGGGCCAGCGGCTGCGGGAGGCCTGAATCTGAGTCGCTGACAGCCTTTCCGCAGGTAAGTGACATGTGGACAGGAGTGCTTTAGAAGATTCCAGCACTGGCCACACGGGCACGGATGGTGACAACAGGTCGGAGACCCAAGGGGTCAGGGCCCCTTAGGGCACTGCGCTAGACCCTGAGACGGCAGCCTCCTGCTAGGATGTCCGCGGGGGTCATTCATGGTGGGCTCGTGTCTAGACCCCGGCTGCCTAGTGCCTGGCACCTCAAAGGTGACGTTCCAAAATGAAACGGGGGCGATAGGATATTTCGGGTTATACGACGACGCGGTCCTACTGCCCGGATCCACAGCCCTATACCTCCCCCCGCGAAGCGCCTTTTTGAGAATTATGGCGGGAGCCCGCACAGTGAGGCCCAGCCGGGCTGCTCCCCTGCAGAGGGGCAGAGGCAGAGGCCCAGCCCCCGATGTAGGGGACTCCCTGCAGGGAGGGCCGGGGGGGGGGGGGGGGGTCCGCGCCCCTGGCGTCCGCCCTGCCCCGCACAGAGCGCTCCGAGGACACCCGCACCCGACCGGCCGAGTCTCCCCGCCGGACCCCTCCCAGGTTCGCGGCCCGCAACGTCCGTCGCCCCCTCGAAACTAGGGGAGAAAAATCAATTATTAACCTAATTTTAAATCCAGTCCTGTCAGCAGAGGCCTCAGGCCGCGGCGGCCTGTCTCCCTCCATCGCCTTCATTTGACAAATGGGGAAACCGAGGCCGCCGACCGGACAGATTCTCGCCAGGAGTCCCGTCTTGGGCCGCGGGAACTCAAAGACCCGCGTCCCCGGTGGGTATGTGTGAGAGGGCGAGGCCCCAGGGCGGCGGCTGGCGGGATTCCGGAGCGGTCCTGCACCTCCGCGGACGCGTGCCGCCTAGGCTGGCCCCGCCCACTTCCCAGCCCCTCGGGCTCCGCCCAGCCCGCTCGGCTCCGCCCAGCACCTCGTCCGCCCAATCGCCCGGCTCCGTTCGTTCCCCCCCCCCCACCCGGCTCCACCCCATCCACGCCTCTTACTCTTCTGGCTCCACTCCTCTCCGCTCGGCAGCCCCGAGACCCACGTCGCCCAGGACGTTCGGCTCCTCCAGACCCGCTCCGATCAGCCATTCGGCTCCCCTTGGCTCCCCTCGGTTCCTCCTGACCCTCGCGGCCCATGTGTTCGGCCCAGTTCGGCTCCACCTCGGTCCACTCCTTCGGTTCCGCTAGGTTCCGCTGACAGCGGCCCCTCTCGCTGGTCCTCTTCTCGCTCGCTAGGTCTGGCTCGGCTGGATTCGGCCCACTTCGGGTAGCGCCCAGCACGGCTCAGCTCCACCCCTACCGGCTCGCTCCCATTCACTCCTCTGGGAGGCCGCATTTGCACTACCTGGCCGCTCCGGGGAGCGCCATCCCAAAGGGCCTGCAAGGGAGCTGGCAGCATTTCCGGCGCCGTGCGCACGGAGCAGGCCGAGGGACGAGCCAGGGTTCCGGAATATCGTGGAATTGGCGTCGCCTTCGGGGCCTCCACGTCCAAGTGCATGAACCGGAGGCATTCCTCTGTCTCCATGGGCAAACTGCAGCAGCTGGCAATACTGGCTCTGGGCGCCAGGCCTACTGGAGGCAGCGCAGGCCCCTGCACGCGGACCAGCGCAGAGTAGATAAGGGGGTGTGTTTGCGAAAGGCCTGGCCCTCTGCCTCCCGATTCCCCGATGCCCAGGTGGGCATCGCTCCTCGGCAAGCTTGCCTGGTCCTGCAGCCGCACGCATCCCACAGCGAGGCTGCACTGTCTGCCCCACCCCCCAGCTCTCAGGAGCCTGGGTCTCCGTGAGGATAGCTCCTTTGGATGACCCTCTGCGGAGCCACAGGGCACCCCACACAGATCGGACGGCCTGGCGAGAAGGGCTACGTTAGATAAGAACCCTGATGGATACTAGGGTGGGCGTGGAGTACAGGGAGCTGAAGCCGGGGCTGGAAAAGCAGAGCTGGGCGGCGTGGGGTGACGTCAGCGCCCCAAACCTCAGCAGCCGTGCACGCCCTCCGACCTTCCCGCCGCCCCTCTGCCCCTGCTGCGATGCGGAGTGTCCAGAGAGGCCGGCTGACGGGCAGGAACGAAGCCTTGAAGGTCGAGTGGGAGTTTGCTAAAGAGAGCAGGAGCGTGTACGGCACATGACCCGCACTGGCAGGGAGTCTGGGGGCCACGCTCTCCTGATGACGTCATTCAGAGCCCACAAGATGGGCACAGGCATGGAGGTTACTGATCTGCGGGGATGTTATCCGCCTTGCCTTTAAAAACACTCCGGGCTTTTCAAAGAATTCGGGCTCTGCAGCAAGAGGCTGCAAAAATGGAGCAGGGCAGGGGACCCTCCACAGGTCCTGGTGCCCTGAGCGCCAGAATTCACAGCAGAAAACATCGGCGCCGTTGAGGGGAGGAGGGAGAGAGGACGAAGGCAGGGAGACCGTTGTATTAACATGAGATCGTCCTGCAGGTGCCGAAACTCCATCCGGCTTCATCTGAATTTAATGAAAGACATTTAAGGGAAATAGGCAGCAGCTGCTAACTGCACGTTGGCGGTCAGGAGCCTTTTTTTTCTTACGTGACATTGGTTTTCCTCGTGTATTATTCTTTGTAACACCGAGGTCTGTATGCACTCCGCCACCTCCCTTGCCCTGGGCGTTTTACCCCTGGCTTCGGGTCTACTTGGCAGTTACCTCCAGTCCACTGCCTCCTCCAACCCTTGTCTGGAGTTGTCCCTTGGTCGGCACGGCCCCACTTTGTACCAGGAAGCACCGGGGCTTTCTCGAAGTCGCCGTGCCTGTGGCCGATCAGCGTAGGGGCTGTGATTGTGCCCACTCTGCCAGACTCCCCAGAGAACGCTCAGTGAGCCACGGGAGCCAGGGGGGCTTCAGGGAGGCAGACAGTCCCTCCCTCTGCCTGGGCCTTCTCGGGAGGCCACAGGGGCGTGGATGCCACTCTCCATGATGAGCGGTGCTTCTTCAGCGCTCATGACGACACAGTTACAGAGACCCAGGGGCTGCGCCCGCTGCGGGCCAGGCAGGGAGCCCGCGGCGCCGTCTCCAGGGCCCTGTCCTCGCCTGATGTGCTGATGGAGCTCCTGGGCAGGCCGCCAACTGTCCAGTCCTGTGCTTCCGTCCCGTGACAGTGCTGGAAAATGAGCACTGTTATCCCCATCTCACAGACAGGCAGACAGAGGCTCTGAGGGGCGGCGAATCCACTCCACCAGCTGGAACCACACTGCAGAGCCCAAAGTCAAAGCCACACCAGTCAAGTCCACAGCTTCGGCCATGGACAGTCCTTCGGCACAAGGGGTTCCCCACCGTGCTGCATCATCTCATTTCATCCTCGACACAACCGGACATGGATGTATTTTTCTGTGTATTTAAAATCAGGGACAACAAGAAGCAGAGAGGTAGACTCATTTTCCCTAAGTCACACAGCAAGGCCACAGGGGACCTGGGGTGCAGGTTCAAGTCTCCTTACCTTTTCCAAAGAGCTGTCCTTGGCTCCAGAGGAAGGCAGCCTCCATGAGGTTGGGGGTCCCGGCGGCCATTGAGCCAGCCCCACAGGCCTCCCAGGGAATGTGTGTGCACCAGGGGCAGGGTGCCAGGCGACAAGCGGATGATCAACAGGCTTGGCCATGCCAGGATGTCGGCCGGAAGCCCAGCCCCTGAAGCCAGAGGTGGGGATGCATTTTTCCCCAGCACAACAAGCTGTGGGCTTCCTCCTCCCCAGCTGAGCCTGGCCTGATATGTCACTAGCCAGGGACGGGAGGGCTGCAGGCAGGCAGGGGCCCCCGGGGCCAGTTCCCAGAGGAAGTCACATGGCCACGGTCACGAGCCTGACCCCGGAACGGTGATGGCCAGAGAGGAAGGGCCCAGCCCACAAGATGAGTCACGGGGCCGGAGACCATCCCGAGGAAGACCTTGGGAGTGGAACTGTGATAAGCGCCCTCCTCCCAAGGTGACCAGGAGCCCACAGGCAGCCGGCCAGGGAGCAGCAAGGCCACGGGTGCCCGGGGGCACAGAGAGGAGCCCAGGGATACCCACGTAGCAGGTGCTTTCTGGAAGCGAATCCTCCGTGACCTCCCTCATGAGGATAAGCCTTGGGGAGGAGTCCCCTGTTCCAGGTCCCTGGGCCGGACGTGGGAGTTGGCCTATTTCACCACTGCTTATTGGCTTCTCCAAAGCAGGGGGCTAGTGATGCTACCACCTGCCCTCCCCTCCCCTCTGGGTGCTTCCTGGGTGGCCGCGAAGTTCCCTTGCGGAAACACTCGGGGTCCAGACTCCTAACTGCAAACCAGGACGCTGGGCTGCTGCTTGCTCCCTGGGGAGGCAGACCCGTCCAGACTCCTCACTGCACGACGGCGGGCAAAGGGCCTCCTCAGGATGCCAGGCCAGACTGATCTGCTCCCTGCCCTCGGCATCTCTGGGAGACTTGTTAGAAACACACATTCTCGGGCCGCACCCAGATGGACCAACCCTTAGCGAGGCAGTGAGCGCCCCTCCCCCTTAACAAGTCCTCCTCCAGGCGGCTTCTGATGCCTGCAGACCCCACAGTGCACGCGGGTCTGCATGCACACGTGCGCACCCTCACCAATGTCCTTGCCATGGTTTCAAATCCTCTTCACCTGGTGGCCCCTCTGCGGGTTCACAAACCACCAGCGTGCACAGCTCCTTCAAAATCAACAGGGATTTGTTCCTCAAACTTGAGAGAGTGCGGTCTCTCTAAGAGGGAGCCGCTGCCACTGTGCTGCTCCCTGGGCATGAAGCGGAAGGCTTCACTCATTCCCGGGGGTTTCACTGCTTCCCCGTGTGCTAAGGGCAGGTGCAGGCTCTGCTGTTCTAAATGCAACACGTCCCAAATGCAATAGAAACAACCACCACTGCTGCTCCAAACCTACCTTTTAAATGAATGATACGGACCGCCCCGCACACAATGCTGATTTGCCAAAGGCATTGCTGTCCGCTGCATGGGCCCCTTTAAATGCAGCACCCGGCATGGCCCTGTGTCAAGGGGAGAATCAGCCTCCTGTGCCTTCCATCTAGTCCAGCTCCGCCGAGCCTCCCTCGGCACAGCGCGGGCTTCAGCGCGTTGTTCACATACCATCACCCTCTGCCTTCATCTCGGGAGCTCCAAATTATGAAAATGGCAGGCTCACGGCTGTTAGCACAAATGCAAACTCAGCTCTCGGTGATAAAGTCGCCATCCTGATGGTTCGAAATCCGTGCTGAGAAATGTCAGAGAAATGGTAGGCCCATCGCTTGAACCCCTCCGGAGCCCTCACAGCAGCGTCTGCGATACCCCTAACCGGCCTCAGGGAGAGTTACCGCTAATTAGGAACATTGCGGACCCTGGGATCTAAGCAGCATCTCCTGTCTCCAGCAGGGGGCGCCAAAGCACCAAGCCGACTGTGCACCTGCCCCAGGTACAATTGATTGGTTTGGCTGAAGAGAGGGGCACCTTTCTTCTCTTCCCTTGGCCGAAGTAAAGAGAGCCAAATGTGTGAAAGATTCTGGATTGCCATGATTCTGCCCAATATGGGATTTCTGCAGTGGGTCCCGCTTACCCACAAAACAGTTATTCAGAGGCCGCCACTGTGGTTCAGCAGATTGAGCCCACTGCTTGCAATGCTCCCATCCCCTGTTGCAGTGCTGGTTTGAGTCCTGGCTGTTCCATTTCTGGCCCAGCTTCCTGCTAATGCATCCTGGGAGGCGGCAGATTGTGGCTCAAGTACTTGAGCCCCTGCCACCCACGTGGGAGGCTCAGATGGAGTTCCTGGCTCCTAGCTTTGGCCTGGCCAAGCCCCGGCTGTGGTGGGCATTTGGGAAGTGAACTGCAGAGGGAAGATTCTCTGTCCTCCTCCCCCTCCATATTTCAAAGAGATGAAAAGACAAACATTTTAAAAAACAGTTATTAACACTTGTTTTCTGCTCTTAAACTGAATCAGGTAGAAATCGCCCCCTTGGGGCAGCCCCAGTCAAGTGAAGGATTCAATGGCTTGTAAATTATTAGCCCCAGAGAAAGCTCAACAAATTAAAAAAAAAACTGTCCTGGATCGCGACGCTCTTAAGTGGCAGAGCTGGGACTCGGGCTTCACAGCTCAGGTTTGTTTGATCCCAAGTTCTCGTCCTCCCTTGATGCAAGCCCTGTGCAGGAGCTGGGCACAGCCGTGGAGGAGGCCGTGGCTCTCCCGCAAGCTGGTTATGTTCTAAAGGAAGAGGGCGAGGGGGGGGCAGGCATCACTCAGCCTGGGAAGGGCTCTGCCAAGGTCAGCACAGGGTCAATGGGAGCCACAAGGAAGAAATGCCCTGGGGGGCCATGGGTCCCTTACACTCAATGCTGCATCCCTGCACTGGCACGGGCCCGGTGCACTGTAGCCCTCGCTGAAAACTGTGGTGAATGAAAGAATGAGGAAGGGGGCAAGTGCCTAGGACTTTCCTGCTGCCGACCCAGGGAAGGTTTCCCAGTGAGCTGGGATGGAGTGGTGCTCACTCTGCTGCTGTCTGATCCCAGTCCACCAACACGCACACACACACACACACACAGTGTACGCCCTGGGCACCCACGTGCAGGTGGACGCTCGCTCAGTGGGATGTCCTGCCTTCTGTCCTGTTCCCTGTAT